GTACAAATAGAAATGTTTTCATTGAATGAAATAGAAACTTTTTGTTTGTCAGATTATCATCAAAGGGCTTKCAGAAAAGATATCAGATGAGAAATCAGATGAATATTTTCATTCAAGACCGAGAGGCAGTCAAATTGGTGCTTGTGTTAGTAAGCAAAGTACTGTGATTTCAAGTAGGGAGGTTAGTAACTTTAGAATAACTCTTGAATTTTTGATTATTTTTAATTGTCTTCACATTTGATACCATACATCATAAACCCTAAAGATTTCCGAAACTTCAGGAAAAACATCCTTTTTCATAGTCTGTAGTTGGATGTTTGATTGCATGTAGAGTTAGACGTAGATGAATTTATGACAATAAATGATGAAAATAATAATAAATAATGATGAAAATTGTTGTCCAACTCATACTTTTTGGGAAGCAAGGATGGCCGAGCGGTTTAAACGCCGGKCTATCACCGCTGTGGTCCTGGTTCGATTCCCGGTCYRGGACAATATGTGATTTGARTTTGTAGGCTGGTTCTCTTCCTTGCTCCAAGGGTTTTTCTCCAGGTCTGCTGGTTTTCCTCCCTCAGTCAAAAACTAGCTGTGAGGAGTGTTGTGTAGTAAAATAATGAATGTTGAGGTAGTGAGTGTGAGTGAATATAGAGGGCCACAAGTTTATTAGTCTAGAGACTATTACGTGCTACCCTCTCAAAATAAAAGACTTTATTTTATTTATTTCCAACCATTCCTGTTTAATCTACGGTATTTGAAATGATAATTACATAGAAATTGCTGTTTTAATTCTCTAAGGTTCTAAGTCAAAGAGAAGAGGAACTGAAGAAACAATATGCAGATAGCAGTATACCTATCCCTAGACCAAGCTACTGGTAAGAATTTAATATTTTGAACRTGAACCTAAATTATGAAAAAAATGCCATCACATGCTGAAACATTCTTGTAAAGAGAAAGAAATGGAGGGGGCTAATGAAGCCTCTCTTATTTTAGCCCTAAAATACAATTTCACCTGTTTTCTTGGGAGAATCCCTTGGGGGTTGGACTTCCTTGAATTTAGGGTGGGGGCGATTGTCTGAAATATAAAAAATATTTTTTTAAAAAGATGGGAGTCTTCCCCATCCCTCCACAAGCCAAAGGAAGATKTAAAGGCAGTTGAGCTGAACTCTTGAGTTAATAAGCAAAAGGAAGATGTAAGGTAGCTGTGCCTCTGCGTTGAAGAAAGGCGACGGTTGAG